AATAAAGAACTCATTATTACCCTAGGGAAATAATGGTCATTTTATTGACCAGCTGGACTATTAAAAAAAAATTAAAATAATAACAATAATTAATTATTAATTATTAATAATAATAACAATAATAATACTGTAATTATAATATAATAAATATTAATAAAAGACTAAATTAATATAAATAAAGTTGCCGGTCATTGTTGTAAAAAATATTGATCAGAAATCTTCTTCTATATATTTGAAAAAAGAAATATTCAAAAATCTGATAATTTTTATAAAAATAAAAATTAAGAATGAAAAATAAGAAATTTATTATTTCTATTTGCAGATGAATTTTCTTTTTATGTATATATAAGAGAGGGTGAGTAAAAAAAAATTGTTAATTAAGCTTTATTATTAGTAATGTAGCATTTTTTTATGTTAACTTGTCATTAACCTCTGTTTGCATTCACGATGAGTGAAGAATAGTTGACATATATTTTAGGAGAATACTTGACTGCACTAGGTCATCAGAAAAAGAATTGCAGTTACTGAACTTTATAAATGCATCTCGTTAATTAAAAAGTCGTATATCTTTTTCGTCAGAAATTAATATACCTTCTTTTCTCTTTACTTTCTTTTTGAGTATTTCAATTGACTTGTTGTCAAAAATAGACTGTCAAAAAGAGAAAAAATTCTTTTAAAGAACGAATCAAATTTTTATTATTATTTCTTTAACTTTATTCTGTATTTATTACTATATAATAACGAGTAAGCAATAATTAATTAATTAATTAATTAATAACAACAAGTAAGCAATAATTAATTAATTAATTAATAATAACAACAAGTAAGCAATAATTAATTAATTAATAATAACAACAAGTAAGCAATAATTAAATAATTAATAATAATAATTTTATAAATAAATTTACTAATAAATACAATAAATAAATAAAGTAATTTAAAGTACAGCAATTTTTTTTATGTCCAAGTTTTCGTTTTTTACTCGAAAAAATAATTTTTCATTCCTTGACGATGATGATAATGATGATAACAGTTGTAAAATAATAATAGTCTTTACCTCTTCTTGGTTAAGAAAAAGAATAATAAAAAGATAAAAGAAATTCTTTGTAAAGTGGAACGATAAATAAAGATTTAATTAAATTGATATATAAAGAGTGGTTCGCGTGTCTTTAAAAATTGCATCTATCATTTTGGATAACTCACTGAAAAAGAAAATTTAAGATATGGATAAAATTAATTTATTTTTTTTAGTTAAGTTTTATTTTAGTTAATAAAAATAATTTTATAAATAAATAAGCGAATATTAATAAATAATAAATAATAAATAATGAAACATGAACTAATAATAATAAATAACAATAAATAGTTTATAATAAATGATAATAAATTTAGAATTTTAGATTTTGTTTTCAAATTTTGGCGCCATTATTAGTCTAAAGGCGCTGCTGTTGCTAGATACTAAAAAAGGCGCGATTTTTAAAAAAACAAAATCAATATTCTGTTTTTTTAAAAGAATAATTTACGAAAAACACTTTTGCTCCCACACTTTGCTTTTTGATTTTTTACTTAGAAATAAATAGCAAATATTAAATATTAATAAATTATGAATTTTAATTTTGGTTTTCAAAAATTGGCGCCATTATTCCAGAGGCGCTGCTGTTGCTAAAAACGAAGAACCTGGCGCGAATTTTGAAATAAAAATAATTATTTTTCTTTTTTTAAATAAGAAGTAATTTACCACTTTTTTTCCCTCACGACCTAATTATATAAATTGAGTTTAAATATTTTATTAATTTTTTTTTTATTTTATTTTATTTTTTTTTATTTTTTTTTTATTTTTTATTTTTTTTATTTTTTTTTCTCTTTAATTATAAAGAAGTAGAAAATAAATATATTTAATAGATATAAATAATATATATTAAATAATATTTATTTTGAACGATAAAATTTTTTATATATAAAGAAAAAAGTAATAAACAAGCAATTAAATAGATAAATAAACAAATAAACAATTAAAAGAAATGTAAAATAAGAAAATAATGGAAATTAAAAATCTGAAGAAGTAGAACAATGTAATTTACGGGCAAGGGTTTCTGGAAACAACTTTTCACTCTGTTTACTCTTTGCAAGCATTGCTCAGAGACAACTTAATTTCACCAACAAGAAAACCGATACGGCCAGTGACAATCAAAAAGCAAGTAAATAATTTTTATTCTAGAGTTTCAATATTTATATTCATTTAATTTAATCCCATGTAAATCTATAAAAAAAGTTTATCGAAATTCTCCTTCTTCGTTAAAAACAAAAAACAAATTTATTAATTAATTTCGCGAAATCGTTTCTAAATATCGTTTAATTTCAATATTTTCTTTAATCGTTTTTAACTAGTTTGTAAATACATTTGTAAATAAATATAAACAAATATAATTAAATAGAAAATAATTATAAATATAAAAAAGAATATAAATAAATGCAAAATAATTATAAATAGAAACAAAATAAATATAAATATAAAAAAGAATATAAATAAATGCAAAATAATATAAATAGTAACAAAATAAATATAAATAAATAAAAATATAAAATAGATATAGAGAAATATTTTGAAAATAAATATTTTTTAATTACGTTTCAAAAGAAGAAAGACACCCCATTGAATTCTTTAATTCATTTTTCCTTTTAATTTACAAATACAATAAACTAAATAAACAATCAATAAAATTTATAAATACTAAATAAATATAAAAAATAATATAAATAAATATAAAGAAAGATAAATATAAATAAATAAATAAATACAAATATAAAATCGATATAGAAATATTTTTGAAATTAAATTTTTATTTACGATTTAAAAGAAGGAGACATCCCATTGAATTCTTCAATTAATTTTTTTTCCTTTTTATTTATAAAAATAAATGACATGTTTTGTGTGTTGATATATATATATATATAAATGTACGGGAATTTACAATTTCTGGGATTAAATCCACATACACACACATATATATATATAGGAAAATTCAATGATACTCTCGCATTCCATTCGAAATTGATACAGAGTGACAGATTGAGGATGTGACGAGCAAAATCAAATCAGACAACTATAATTACCAATTTGCTTTTAATCTAATTGTAAGCGAGACTGAAGCGAATGGCATTGAAATATTTATTATTGATACATTAATCTCTACATTTTCTACATTAATATTTGCATTTCATAAATAAACGAGAAAATGTCAATAACTTTTACTCTAATTTATAAATATACCCGACCACGAATATTTATATAAATTTCTAGATTTCAATTCATTGCGAATTTTTCGCAAAATAAAATCAAATATTTCATTTTAATTTAATTTTTTTTTTAAATTTATTCATTTATTTTTAATTTATTCTATTCACTAAGAAAACAATATATTTGAATTAAAGATAATTGTCTTTGTCAACGAAGAATTATTTTTGAATTAAAGATATAATAATTTTGATTCTAATTATAATTTTGATTTATTATACACTGAAAAAAAAATTTATTTGATTCAAAGAACCAATTAATTGACTATTATAAATTAAATATTTACTTGAATCAAATAATATTTATTGGAACTAATTAAATGGTATTTGAACGAATAATTTCAGTATTTAAATATTTAATAAGCAAATACCATTTAATTGACTATAAATATTATTTAATTTAATTAAATATTTAATTGATAGTCAAGTAATCGGTTATTTGAATCAAATAAATTTTTTTTCCGTGTAAGTTTGATTCGACGAAAATGACTTTTTTTGAAAATTTTTTACATTTTACTAATTACTTTTTTAATTAATTTTACTAATTATTATAAAAAAAAAGGAAATTAGAAAGAAAAAATTTTAATGAAATTCCACTGAGAAATTAAGAATTTCATGGAAAATTTTTGAAATATTTTTAAAATAGGTATAAATGTGTAGAATAGACAAGAAAAAGCTGGTGAATGCAAGAAAAAAAGGCAAAAAATAAAGAAAAAAAAGAAAAGACAAGTGTGTAAGGGATGAAGAGGGAAGAGCCTTCAAGCATGAAAGACGAGAGCTGAGGCGGCGAAATGTTCATTGAAAGTGCTTTTACTTTTCTGCAGAGTACGACTAAAGAGTAGATAGTCAGAGGGAGGAAGAAAGAGAGAAAGTACGGAAGTGGAAAAAAAATTATAATATTTGTAATGTCACGATTGAAAAAAAAGTTCGAGGTAAACATATAAATAAGTCAAGTGTTATAACGTTCCATGGATTTCTGATATACAAAATTTATATTTTCACTTTTCGTATTTTTTTGGATTTAATTATTTTAATTTATAACGATTGAATATTATTTTCAAAAAACTTTCGAAAATCAATGATTTTCAATATCTAGTATTCTCAAAAACTTTTTGAGAAAATCAATTATTTTCAATATCTAGTATTTTCATAAAATTTCGCAAATTCAATTATTTAAAAATAAAATTAATGAAATTCATCCAAAATTCAATTATTTTCGTAAATAATAAAATTTCCACTTTAATTCAAATATTCATTTAGAATAGCATTTTCAAAAAAAATTTCGAAAAAATCAATTATTTAACAAAATTTAATATTAAATATTTAAATATACTAATAAATTAGTAAAAATTGCTATTTACTAGTAAATTTGACGAATAAATTAGTTGAAATTGATATTTACTAGTAAAATTGACTAATTCAAAAGCAAAAAGTCCATCACTGACTCAAATTAAAAAACATTTTTACTAATTGGAATTTATAGAGAAAGTTAACAGATAATTGTTTTCCTTTTTAATTTATTTTTGAGTTAATCGGTTCAAGATTTATAATAAACAAATTGTTGAGTAATTACTCTTCGAGAAAATGTGTATTGAGAAATTGATTTTCGCCATATACTTTAAAGTGCCTTATTATAATTTTTTTTCTTTTTCTTTTTTATTTTGCAATTTGTGCGCTTCAAGTTTTGAAGTAGATAATTCACTTACTTGAGAGAAAGAGATCTTGAAGAGCTTGGGCTGCTTGGCAAAGGAGAGCCCAAGTTTCTGCAGCTTCCAAACCTGCACCCCTTAAAGCAAGAACATCCGACGCCACGATACTTAACCCATCTTCGACGCCGCAGACGCCTCCAACGCTCAACGTTGGCATTCTGTTAACAAAAAAGAAATCTGAACTAAATAAAAATTTTTCTTATTTTTTTTTTTTTTAAATACTTTTGAATTTAAATAAAAAAAAAGACATGGAAATTTATTTACAATTTATAATTCATCTCTAAATTTGAATTAGAAATTAGAAATTTATTTACAATTGTAATATTTACTAAAATATTGACTAAAATATTTAACTAAAATATTTTACTAAAATATTTTACTAAAATATTTACTAAAATATATTACTAAAATATTTTACTAAAATATTTACCTACTAAAATCAGGGTTGCCACAGGTCAGGGAAATCAGGGAATTCAGGGAAAAGTTTTTGAAAGTCAGGGAAAGTAAAATTGGTGAGGGAAATCAGGGAAAAGTCAGGGATTTTTATTAAAGTAAATGGAAAAAATTGAATTTTGGAGAAGTTACAAATAATTGCAGACATTCAATTATATTCAAAAGTAATCAAATTTTTCGCATAAATTCAATTATGTTCAAAAATTTAAAAAAATTCCCATCAAAATTCAATTATCTTTAAAAATAATAAAATTCTTCTCCAAATTTCAATTATTTTCAAAAATTTTAATAAAATTCTTTGCAAAATTTCAATTATTGTCAAAAAATTTTCACCAATTCAATGATTTTCAATATCTACTAGTTTAATAAAATTTTTCAAAAGAATTCAATTATTTAAAAAAAAATGTAGACAAAATTCTAAGCAAATATTAAATTATTTTCATAAATAATAAGAATTTCACAGGAATTCAACTATTTACAAATTTTTTATAAATTTCTTCGCAATAATTCAATTATTTTCATAAATAATAACATCTTTTAAAAGAATTCAATTATTTTCAATGAATAATAAAACTCATCATAGAATTTCAATTATTTTTAATACATTTTTAATTGAATTCCTCGAAAAATGTGATTAATCTTGAAAATTTTATTAAAATTTCTCGAAAAAAATTCAATTTTGATGATAAAATTCTTTATGATAATTCAATTTCGAGAAATATTCATTTATTCAATAAATTATTTATTTTTGCATTTAAATAATTGAATTCTCATAGAATTTTCAGATAAAAATTGATTTTAGATAATAATTGAATATTAAAAACATTATAGCATGAATTCTTGAAAATAATTGATAATTGAATTCTTTCGAAGAATTTTAATAAAACTTTTGAAAATAATTCCATTTTTCTAAGAATTTACTTAAAATTGTATTAAAAATAATTAAAATCCTGTGAAAAATTTTATTAATTTATGAAAGTAATTGAATTCAATCAATTTTTTCGAAATTTTTTTTTAATAATTGAATTCATGTGAAAAATTTTATTACTTGTAAAAATATAGGAATTCCTGCAATAAATTTTATTACATTTTATTTGAATAAATAAATTCTTTTGAGAACTTTTATTCAAATAGTAAATTTTGAAAATTTTTGAATTTCAACGAAGAATTTCATTATTTGTGAAATGTAATTTAATTCTTGCAAAAAATTTTTGAAGATAATTAAATTTTTCGAGAATTTTACTTAAAATTCTATTAAAAATAATTGAAGTCCTGTGAAGAATTTTATTATAATTTATGGAAGTAATTGAATTCTTGCAATCAATTAAAAGAAATTTTTTTTTAATAATTGAAATAATGTAAAGAATCTTATTATTTATGAAAATAATTGAATTCCTGCAACGAATTTTATTACATTTCTTTTAAATAATTGAATTCTTTTGAGAACTTTTATTAAAATAGTAAATTTCGAAAATTTTTAAATTTCAGCGAAGAATTTCATTATTTGTGTAATGTAATTGAATTATTGCAAGAAATTTTTGAAGATAATTTCATTTTTCGAGAAATTTACTTAAAATTGTATTAAAAATAAAATAATTGAAACCCTGTGAAGAATTTTATTATTTATGAAAATAATTGAATTATTGCAACGAATTGTATTATAATTTTTGTAAATAATTTAATTTTTTTTGAAAAATTTTATGAAAATTAAAATTTTTATAAAACATGAAGATATCAATTGCTCCGAGTCGAAGACTCGGAGTGATTGATATCTTTATGTTTTATAATGATATTCTTATAAGTTGTTGAATTTTAAAAATATTTTGGGGTGAGGGAAAAAGTCAAAATTTTGTCTGGAAATCAAGGAAATGTCAGGGAAAAATAAAATTAGTTTTTTGTAGCAACCCTGTAAAATATTTTATTAAAATATTTACTAAAATATTTTACTAAAATATTTTTAAAAATATTTTCTAAAATCATTGCTAAGATGATTTTTAACATAATTTTTAAGATCATTTTTAAAAATCCTTTTTAAGCAATATATTTTAAAAGATAATTTATAGAACTATTTTAAATCATCATTTTTTTTTCACCGAGTGAGTAAAATTGTACTTTTCCCCCTAGGGACTAAAATGGCTTTTAAATCAATGTAGGAAGTGTATATAACTTTTTTTCCTCTTTCAAGGATCGTGTCTTCTTCATTTTTTTTTAGAAAAAAGTAGAAATGATAGGAAATTCGAAACTGATGAAGCAAGAGTCGAGAAGTTAAGCTTGAAATAAGTCGCTCCGTTCACATACACACATATATATATATATGTATATATACATATATATATATATATATATATATATATAACGAAAATGTCAGGAGCTTTATAATTCCCAGGAGAAATATAAATCCATTTGACAGGAGAAAAGAGAGTTGAATGTTAGACGTTTTAGAGAAGTTTTAACGGTTAAAAGCAATGTGTACGTGATATTGGATCAAGTTTTCGGAATACAATTCAAAGATACAATATATATATATATTTTATACCATCGAATGCAATGGTCACTAGGATTACAAATCTTCCAATGTGCTAAGTCTAGCAGAAATTTCTGATCGAATCTTATATATAGACTCTTGACCTTTTTCCTATACGAATATCGTTCACAATCAAAGTTTGAATAAAAAAGAAATCAACATTACAATACATATTTGCAAATATTATAAATAAATTTATAAATAAGTTTATAAATAAATACACAAATAATTAAATATATAAGTACAATAAAAATGAATAAATAATATCAATAAACTTTCATTTTTACTTTTGATTATTCTTGTGAATTATTGCGAAGAATTTTATTTAAATCTTTTTAAATAATTGAATAAATCTAAAAAATTAAAGAAAGAATTTGAGAATTTATCAATTTTTAAAAAAATAATTGAAATTCTGAGAACAATTTTATTATTTATGAAAATAATTGAATTTTATTTAATTCTTTTGAAATAATTAAATAAATGTGGAAAAATTAAATAAAGAATTCAAGAATTTATCAATTTTTTAAAAAATAATTGAATTTTTGAGAAGAATTTTATTATTTAATTATTTTTGTAAATTCTTGCGAAGAATTTTATTTAAATCTTTTTAAATTGTTGAATTCTCGTGAAAAATTTTATTATTTTGGAAAATAATTGAAATCTTGTAAAGAATTTTATTTAAATTTTTAAAAGTAGGTAATTTAATTCTTGAGAATCATTTTATTATTTATGCGAAAATAATTGTATTCTTGCCTGGAATTTTATTAAAATTTTTCTAAATAATTGAATTTTCGTGAAAAATGTTATTGCTTGTGAAAATTATTGAATTCTTGCGGTAGAATTTTATAAAAAGTTTTTAAATTGATTTTCATTGAAACATTTTATAATATATTTTAAATACTCCAACTCCTGTGAAAATTTTATTACTTATAAAAAAATTGAATGTTTGCGAAGAATTTTACGAAAAATCTTTTGTGAAATTTTATTAAAATTTTATAGACATTGAAAATTATTGATTTTCGAAAAGGTTTTGAGAATAATTGAATCGTTTTAAAGAATTTTATTACAATTTTTAGAATTTTTTTTTATTTCAACTATTAACGAATTTAAAGTGACGAAAGTTTCCCCAAAAAATAAAGAAAAAAGTAGCTTTCAGCGTCATAAATCTAAAAAAGTATCTAAATAGTATTAAATTGAAAAAAATAGTAAATATTAGGTTTTAGTTGATGAGGGCGAAGCCTGTTTTAATTTTAATTTGATACTTTCAAAAAAACTGTGTTTCACTTTCATTTTCACTTTCATAGTAAGTGACAATAGAAATCTCTTTTATTTTCTTTTTCACTTTCACAAATTTTTTTATTTTCATTTTTATTTTGACAAAATTTTATGTTTCCTTTTATTGATATATTTAAATAAATAAATAAAATATTATTATTAATTTAAATAAAATTTTGTCAGAGTGTAAAAGAAAATGTACGTAAAGTCCAACTTTTTCACTATACAAATTACATTTTCAGTTTTTTTATTAAAAATATTTTTCTTTAAAAAAAATTATCCCTGGGTTTAATTTTTTTTTCCCCAACTCTTAAATCATATTCCTCTTTTCAAAGAGCTTCTAAATTATTATATATATATTTATGAAAAGAGTTAGAAAGAAGTAAAGTTATAAGAATGTTCCAGTTGATTTCATATGTGAATTCTTGCAAAAACCTTGGAAATCGTAAATCATTGCTGGCTGAAGGAAACATCTTTTACCTCAAGTTGAAATAGTTTTTGAGAGTGTTTGAGAGGCACGTGAAGCAGAGCGCGAGGGCTGATGGGATGGGGGGGAGGGGGGAGGGTTTAGCATTTGAGGTATTCAGAGGGCTCTTTGAAAAAAAAGAAAAAAAAATATTCATATATATATAAAATGTTACCAGGAAATGTGATGCGACGCGTAAATTTTTATAGAGCTTCCAGAAAAAGTTACCATGTGTTTTCGTGCAGAAGAAATCGACTTCAAGTCAAATAGCATTTTACGCCAACAAAACTGTGCGGATGCTTTAAGCTTTAAAAAATTTTCTCTCCAAAAAACAACCAAAACCATTGATATTAAGTATAGATATATAAATTATGAATATAAATTAAATTGTATAATCAATTTTTTTTTAATACAATTTTTTTTTAAGAAAATATAATCTT